TTCTGAAGCTCCGTCTGACACAACTTGGACATGTTTCAAGAAGGGACCAGTCCTTAGAGAGGGATGTCATGCTTAGGAGGGTGGAGGGACAGCACAGGAGAAGAAGACCCTTGATGAGATGGATTGATTCCGTCCATGAGGTAATGGGGATAGGCGTTTCAGAGACAATGAGATTGGCAAGGGACAGAGCAGGGTTTAGGGCTGTTGTTAGTCTCAGGTGACTTGACTGCACATAACAACAGCAGCAACAACAATCTTAAAGTTGACAATACAACTTTTTTACCACTAGGCCACTAACATGCTGGTATTTGAGCATCTGTTGAGACACTTTCTCTCTCTCTCTGATCCTCCTACTTTTCCACCATGATATCGTTTTCCAAAGACAGACTCCCCCTGAAAACCTATCAGCAGAAGAGAAAGTTTCATCAGCCTTGTTCCTGAAGTGGAATTTGGTTGTACTTCCTTCAATTCAGATTTGTTTGATCTTTTGTCAGCCCATGAGGTAGTAACTACTTTTCTCCCACACCACACTGCAAAAGTATTTATGCTTCTTCTCTCATCCTTATTCATTGATCAAATTTTGGATGCATAAGAAGCAAAAAACAGCACACCCATGTGCATCTCAGGTTTGCTCACAATAGCTAGGAGTTGGAAACAACCTAAGTTCCCATCAACAAACGAATGGATAGAGAAGCTGTGGTATAGTCACACAATGCAATACTATGCTGCATTGAAAAATAAGGAACTCATGCAATATTATTCAAAATGGGTGACCCTGGAGGACATTATGCTGAGTAAAATATCTCAGTCATGAAAGGGTAAAAATACTGCATCATGCCACTGTTGTAGAAACTGACTGATATCAGGGTTGGAGTAAGACTGAGGAAAACTGGGTAGATTATGTATACTGAATTGAAACAGATGAGGGAGAGAACAGTTTAAGAGTGACATATGATTGCACATTATGATTATCACAGGTATCCAGAATTAAGGTTGCATAGCAGAGTCCATTGGGGGCAGGGTCGAGGTCAGGGGATTATGTACCAATGAAGACGTTTACCTTTTGCTTTTCAGAGATAGGAGAGAACTGCTATTGGGGGTAAA